AGCAACTTGTGCAATCTGTGAGATGTTGTTTTTCAGCAAATCATTTCATCCTCACCAACAAAAAAAGTATGACAAGGCTTTTTTTTTGTTCTTGGAGTTTGTGGTTTTGATCGATCGAGTGTGAAATAGAATGTGTTTAGATAACATGATTTTGTTCTAGGATTATATATTTTAATCTAATCTCTTTTTTTTTTTTTGTTAAAGAGATATTTTTTAATCTCCATTATAAAAAAACTAGAAATATTAAATGCCAAAATCTGTAAGCAAATCATTTTTCAGAGAATGGTATCAAAATTTTCCAAATACACAGATATCTACCATTTAATAGTCTCTCATCCGCAGCGATAAAACCAATGCCTCTAAGCAAATAGCCTATCTAACCCTAATTTACTTTAATCTAACCCTAATTTATTTCATCTTCAGATTCTCTAATTTTCTTCTCGATCAATATCTCCGTATAGAAAACCATGTCTTCCGAACAAGAATCCGAGGGTAAGATCTGATAGACCTCTCTGTCTCTTGCTCGAAATTGTTTATTCATATCTGAACTAGATAGATTTCATCTAATCTGTCATAGTCAATCGATTGTATTCACGTTCGTTCAGATTCTTATTTTTTAATTTCGTTTGGTAATTAATGTTGATGATGCGTACCTTGTCCGTTTTGTGCAGAAGTAATCACCACATGCGTCTTCTGGGACCTCGAGGATTTCATACTCCCTGATAATTTAAATCCTTTTTATGTTTATCGTAACCTGTCATCAGCTCTTAAGAGTAAGGGTTTAATTGGTGGGTTGAAAATCTGGTTCTATTATGGAGGTGATCTAGATTTCACGGATGAAATCGCGGATAAGTATGAAGAGCTCGATACCTTCTTCTTTCGCCTAGGTGATATATATTCTTCTATTGAAATCTTTTTTTTTTTTTTTACTTATAACATATATATGCGTGTCTGTAATCTAAGATTTATTTCAATCTATAGAAGGGGATATATATGAGAAAGCTACAAGGATTATGAGGGACGCTCTTCTCTGGTCAGTGGACAATCCAGTGCGTGACGACATTCCTGAACAAGCAAATTTGTTTATTATCTCTAATAAATTCTCTGGAGAAGAAACCAAGGAACTCCTCAGTTATCTGCAAGCTTTGGAATCGAGAAAGTATAATATTCTCTTAGCACTTAACGAACCCGAATCATGTGAAGCGCTGCTTCCTTCTGTAAGCTTGGAATGGCTTTGGCATAGAATATTAGGTGCTGGTGATGATCTTGAAGATGATGTTGACAATACTACTCTTTGTAACTTGTGCAACAAGGAAGAAGAGTTGAAGGCAGCCAACCTTAAGATTTTGGAGATGGAGAAAGCACAAGCTGAACAAGACAAGGTGCTAGCTCAACAAACAAAAGAGCTCGAGTATTTTAAGAATATAGTATTTAACCAATTTCCAAACTTGGTTCTTCCAACCAATTCCTCCCACCCGAGACGATAATTAGTATTGTGTATTTTATGTGTTTATGTTATATCTTTTAATTTTTTTTTTTTTTTCTATTGATTTGTTGAGACTTTTTTTTGGTGAGCATTGATTTGTTGAGACTTGAGACTATTGGTTATTGATTGATAATTAAACTGAATCAAGAGGTAGAGCTACGTCAAAAAAATGTTGAGTCATATGACACACCGTACGTTTGGCAAAGGAGAAGATAACAAAAAAGAAAAGCATAGTTATTAATAAAAAAGAAATGTCGTTGACTTCTTTTTTTTTTGGGAAAAAACCCGGAAAAACCGCTATCTATTTTTTTTTGGCCGTTTAATACGTGTGTTTTTAAATTTGGAATAAAAATACCTCGTTTAATTGTTGTTGTCTTTTAAATTCTTTGTTTTTTAAATTTTGGTAGATTCATACATCCGCGTTAATGATAACGGAATCGTTAACCAGAGTTAAAAATTAACCCATAGTGTTTACGTATATATATACAATCTCTTTTCAAACGTGTACGAAGATATTATCTTAGTCTGTTGGTTAAACGTGGGATATAATATCTTTTGGGCCTGATGAGTTCGAGTCCTACCTTGGATTTTTTAGGCGTTTTAATTTTTTTTTTTCTTCTTGTCGTTACTCAGATCCGGTTAACGATTCAGATGAAGAAGAGGACGATTGTGCTTATCGATGACTTCAGATCCTAGATTAGCTTCCGATTTCGCTTGGATTATCTTCGATTTCGTCATTCCGAGCATAAATACGCGAAGCTTAATGGCAGATTTTCCCATTCTCTTCTCTTTGATTTCTTCGTTGTTGCAGAAGAAGAAATTTGTTCAGATTTTGGTTCCAAAATTGTTGAGATGGTATTGGCTTTCATTGGTGATGGACTCGTCTTCTTTTGTGTTCTTTTGGTGTCCACTCCATGTTTTAGCTTAAGGTGGTGGTTCTGGTGGATTTTGCCGGCGGAGTAACGAGAAGAAGAAAAGAAAAAAAAAATCTTAAAGAAAATTAAAAAAAGCTGCAGATCTGGGTTTCGAACCCTAGTTCTATGGGCAGAAAAATAGACCTCTCACCACCAGACCACGGTAATAAATACCTAAATAAAGTCAAACATGTTTTATATACCTATTTAAATACGTGGAGTTAATTTTTAACTATGGTTAACGATTCCGTTAACGCGGATGTATGAATCTACCAAAATTTAAAAAACAAAGAATTTAAAAGACAACAACAATTAAACGAGGTATTTTTATTCCAAATTTAAAAACACACGTATTAAACGGCCAAAAAAAAAATAGATGGCGGTTTTTCCGGGTTTTTTCCCTTTTTTTTTTGATTAAATTCTCCCAAATCCTTTCAATAAATCTCACCAAATCACTAGTGATTTTTTTTTTTTAAAAAGAAATCAAACAAATCAACCCAACTATCCTAAAATTTTACTCAAATCACTCCAAAACCTAAAATATAGAAATTCCACCAAACCCCTCCAAATATTTAATTCAATACACCCCCTTAGTACTTCTTATTTTAGTTATTGTGAATCAAATATTTAAAAATTAAATTTTCAATTCATATTTGATAGTAATATTTTTGAACATTATTTTGGTCACTAATTTTTGATCATTCATTTTGTCAGTAACATTTGATCTTTTTTTTTGGGTCAGTAATTTTCGACCAATTTATGACCCCAGTTTATTTGCGAGCAGCGGTTTTTTACGACTTAAATTAAAAGAGAACAGTAAATGAACGTGTCAATTGTACTTGATAGTCTCTCATCCGTAACCACATGCTTAGCCCAAACCCTAATTGTTTTCTTTTTCTTTTGATTCTCTATAAGACCATGAGCAGATAATTCAACAGTAAGATCACTGGCTATCTCTTGCTCGATTTTTTTTTTAAATGATACGTTTTAATAATCTACAAAAGCCGACAAATTAGATTATTGGAGATCCAACGGCTGAAAAGAGAACATGCCGAAGATCTCTCTCTCATGGGCAGCAATATATAAGCCAGTACCCAACATTATCCTCTCATCCGCCGATCTAAACCCTAATTTCTTGTCCATCGAAATCATGTCGGATGAACACGACGGTAAGATCTCTCTGTCTCTTGCACTTATGTTTCTGATTATAACCTCTCTGTATTTTTCTTGCTCAGAATTGTTTCTGATCATAATCAGGCTCTTGTCTATCATACTAAATTATAATTCGATCAATCTGTCTTAGTAAAATCAATGGTTGGATGGATCTAATCGATTGTATTCATGATCCGATTGTATGATGATGCTTTCTCCGTTTTTGTGCAGAAGTGAAAGTGATTACCACATGCGTCTTCTGGGACCTCGAGGATTTCGTAGTCCCTGATAATTTAAATCCTTTTTATGTTTATCGTAACCTGTTATCAGCTCTTAAGAGTAAGGGTTTTATTGGTCGGTTGAAAATCTGGTTCTATTATGGAGGTAATCTAGATTTCACGGATGAATTCGTGGACAAGTATGAAGAGCTCCATACCTTCTTCTTTCGCCTAGGTGATATATATTCTTCTATTTAAATCTTTTTTTTTATATACTTATAACATATATATGCGTGTCTGTAATCTAAGATTTATTTCAATCTATATATATATATATATAGAAGGGGATATATATGAGAAAGCTACAAGGATTATGAGGGACGCTCTTCTCTGGTCAGTGGACAATCCAGTGCGTGACGACATTCCTGAACAAGCAAATTTGTTTATTATCTCTAATAAATTCTCTGGAGAAGAAACCAAGGAGCTCCTCAGTTATCTGCAAGCTTTGGAATCGAGAAAGTATAATATTCTCTTAGCACTTAACGAACCCGAATCATGTGAAGCGCTGCTTCCTTGTGTAAGCTTGGAATGGCTTTGGCATAGAATATTAGGTGCTGGTGATGATCTTGAAGATGATGTTGACAATACTACTCTTTGTAACTCATGCAACAAGGAAGAAGAGTTGAAGGCAGCCAACATAAAGATTTTGGAGATGGAGAAAGCACAAGCTGAACAAGCCAAGGTGCTTGCTCAACAAGCAAAAGAGCTCGAGTATTATAAGAATATAGTATTTAACCAATTTCCAAACTTGGTTCTTCCAACCAATCCTCCGGCTCGAGACGATAATTAGTATTGTGTATTTTTTATGTGATTAAATTATATCTTCTATTCTATGTTATAAACTATTAGTACTTATTATTTTAGTTATTGTGAATCAAATATTTTAAAATTAAATTTTCAATTTATATTTGGTAGCAATATTTTCGACCATTATTTTGTCACTAATTTTTGACCATTTTTATTTTGTCAGTAACATACTAACATTTGATCTTTTTTTTGGATTTGTAATTTTCGACTAATTTATGACCCCAGTTTATTTGCGAGCAGCGATTTTTACGACTTCAATTAAAAGAGAACAACAAATGACGTGGCAATTGTACTTGATAATGTGGCATCCGTAGAGCAACATCGTTTTGTAAACTCAATATGGGCATTGGACAAGCCTATTAGTTGGAGGAAGCCCTATCGACCAAAGTGGAAGCTTACAACGTGATGACAATAAGCGGAAGCGGATGAAATCGAAATCCCTTAAAGCGGAAGAGCAGAGCTGATGCAGGGTCTGATATCGATCCCAAGCTAGAAACAAAACCTCAAAAGTGACAAAGAGGCTACCTTTCTTTGTGCTATAGTGAATTGGCATCCCTCTCCTTTGAACTTATTCACTTCCTTCGGCTTTGTAAGTAATTCCCTGTTGTCACACAAACCATTAGTCATTACATAGCTCACTACACTACATTAGGGGTGTCAAAATGGATAAAAATTGATGGATCAATCCAAACCAATCCAATCCATGGATGTAATGGATAAGAAATTTGGATCTTAATGGATTAATGGATTAAATGGATTAGTGAGTTTAATGAATTGGATTGAAATGGTTAAGATTAGAATAGATTAGTGGGTTACTCATAACCAAACCAACAAAAACTAAATAATTCAATTCTGATGCATAAACCAAATATAACCGAAATAAATGTCTAAACCGATTTAGTAAACCGAAACAAAACCTAAATTTCTCACTCTCTCACAATCGATCTCTCTCTCTCTCTCTCTCTCTCTCTCTCTCTCTCTCTCTCTCTCTCTCCCTCCAATTTCACCATCGTCGTTTAGAGAATTTCTCCTTCAAAGCCTCAAAACCAATTCCAACGACCTCTCTCTTTTCTGATTCGACGATTCGTTCCCGTCAATCTCGCCGGAAGGTGACCGATTCGCGTTCGTCTCTTTCACAGGCGTTTTCGTTGTGAAACCAGACGGTTCAGGTCTATGTCAATTGCTTTCACAAATGGGATTTGGAAGGGATCCAATTCGACATGGAATCGTCTACAGAAGCTCAGGTCCAGCTTTAATCCATTAATCCAACAATTCAAATGAGTTATGGTTTCATCCAAACCATTTGCTAAATGAATTGGATTGACTCATTATCCATTAGGTACTAAATTCATATGGATATAGATTGGTTTGGTTTGGTTTAACCAACTTGACATCCCTAGACTACATTAATGCGTTATTAGACTGCAATGATCACATGTAGAGTGTTTTGTTGTAGAGAATGTTCGGTGTTACCAGATCATATTAAATTAATATCACTTTGAGAGACGAAGCATTTGGATATATAAGTTGGGCTGGGCCTGGGTGAAATTAAAAATAGGCCTCTACATGAGGCGTACGTTAGCATGTGACGCCAAAGATACCAAATCCACAATTTGCTAACTTAAAAACAAGGCTCGAGGCGGTTCTCTTATCTGCAAAACTAGAGACTGTGTTGTCTAAGCGAACCAACCAAAGTCTTCTTCTTTACTCAATCAATGGCTTCTTCTTCTTCTATGCAGATGGTTCACACTTCCCAGGTTCGAAACTTTATCCTACATTTGTGGGTTTTTCAATTTTCGTCGAGATTCATGCTTTTAATTCGTAAAATTCTTTGCTTTTACTTTTCTTCACTTTACCAGCAATGGCGTCTATTTTGGCTTTACTCTGTTTTAGTATTTAAGTAGTGAGTTGAAACGAAATCTCTGTTCTTGTGGGTTTTTGGTCTTAATCTCTTTATTTGGTTTTGTGTGTAGATTGGGTTCGTTGTTAAGTCGCAATTGGTTTGTGCAAATCGAACATCTCAATCAGTTTGCTTCGGAGTTCGTTCCTCTGGAATTGCATTATCTTCGAGATTGCACTATGCATCACCCATTAAGCAATTTTCCGGAGTTCATGCGTCCACCAAGCACCAGAGAACTGCTTGTGTTAAATCCATGGCGGCTGTAAGATTTCCAAACAAAAACCACTAAATTTTGTGATAGTTACTGATGTCCTGTGTCTTATGGCTTTGTGTTGATTCTTGAACTTGTTTTATAGGAGGAAGAGGAAGTAATAGAACCTCAAGCTAAAGTGACAAACAAGGTTTACTTTGATGTGGAAATTGGAGGTGAAGTTGCTGGAAGAATTGTGATGGGTCTTTTTGGTGAAGTTGTGCCTAAAACCGTTGAAAACTTCCGTGCCTTGTGCACTGGTAAGATCTTTATATCTTCAACTTTAAAACATTGATCTTTAAAGTTTGGAACTTTATAGACAAACAAAACCATTGTCTAAAAGAAACTGATTTCTTCAGGTGAGAAAAAATACGGGTACAAGGGTTCCTCTTTCCATCGTATTATCAAGGATTTCATGATCCAAGGAGGTGATTTCACTGAGGGAAATGTAAGTTTTTCCAAGAAATTACATATAAGACTGTTTGTTATTTGATATTTCTTTCTAAATAGTATTTTTCGATATGGCTCACAGGGTACTGGAGGTATTAGTATTTATGGTGCCAAGTTCGAAGATGAAAACTTCACCCGTGAGTATTATTAACCTAGAATCATTCTGGTTTTGTCTGTGCTTCTTCGAGATATGAATGCTTTTGATTTACTGTTTTCCGCATGTGTAGTGAAGCATACTGGACCTGGAATCTTGAGCATGGCAAACGCTGGTCCTAATACTAATGGAAGCCAGTTTTTCATTTGCACTGTCAAGGTAAAGATTCTCAACTCTTCACATCATCATAAAGTTATCGATCTTTCATATGTTTGCCTTTGCATTTTGATGAATATTTGTTCACAAATTTGTGTTCTCTGTTTTGTTTTTTTGTGCAGACTCCATGGTTAGATAACAAGCATGTTGTGTTTGGACAAGTAATTGAAGGTATGAAGCTTGTTAGGACTCTTGAGTCTCAAGAGACTCGCGCTTTCGATGTTCCCAAGAAAGGTTGTAGAATCTATGCCTGCGGAGAGCTCCCGTTAGAAGCTTGATAATCACCATTGACCGGTGCATTGTCATTGCAATCTTTGTTATGTTTTTTACTATTATGACTATTGAGGAATCCAAACCATCAAAAAGCCAAAGATTTTCAAATTCTGGTCTTTTGTTTATTTATTTTGGATACATGAGTTAAAAGTTCTTTTAATCGATGTGGAATTGTTAAGAGCCCGGGTCGCGCGAGCTTTGTCTGCGTTAGTAAAGAAGATCTGATGGTTAAAAAGAACAGAGGATGGAAAAAAAAAAATCAATGGAGAATTCCGTGCAAAAAGCTTGAAGACAAGAAACTTAACGATTTAACGTGATTTATAAATAAAAGTGTTTTATTTTTGCTAAAATTGTGATTGCATAGAGTGGCCAAATCAACAATAATCATTATTTTCGTGGGCTTTTCTATAAACAAAGATATGAAAATGGTCCGATTTGAAAATGCGTAACTTTGGGCTATTTTTTTAAAAATTGCCCATATAAAAAATCACCTGCAAAAAACAGAACCCTAACTCCATCATCAGTCATGTCCCCCCTACGCCGCATTATCCGAAATGCGACCGTATCAACGGCGGTTCCGGTTGCGAAGGCGTTCAAGCCTTACCCACTCGGAAGAGACCCTTCCTCACTCCCCAAGCTTAAGTGGGTATCGACCAGTGAGACCGATAACCGCTCAATTTCTCTGCGCTACAGAGTCACGGCGATGATAGAGATGTCTCTTCTCGACAAAGCCGCGAATCTCTCACGACTCGCTGTCTTGGACGACTTTCGAGTCGACAGAGACACCGTATTCATCTGCAATTCCATAATTGGCGCCATGTGCAGCGCAAAACGGTACGACGATGCCATCTCTCTGTTCAATTATTTTTTCAACAAGTATCAAACTCTGCCAAACACGCTCTCCTGCAATCTCATCATCAAAGCACACTGCAACCAATGTCACGTCGACGACGCTCTTGAGCTCTACCGCCTCATTTTGCTCGACGGACGTTTAGCTCCGGGGATCGAGACATACATGTTACTCACGAAAGCCTTGGTTGATGCTGAAAGATTCGACGAAGCTTGTGATTTAGTGAGTTGCATGAGCTCTTGTAGTTTCATGGTCTACGACATTTTAATCCGCGGGTTCTTGGATGTAGGGAATTTCGTAAAGGCTAGCCAAATCTTCGAGGAACTGAAAGGACTGGATAGTAAACTTCCAGGGAGAGAATATCACACGGCAATTGCAATCTTTAATGTTTCGTTTATGAACTATTTTTTCAATCAAGGCAAAGATGAGGAAGCTATGGAGATTCTCGCAACTCTGGAAGAGGCTCAAGTGTTGAAACCCATTGTCGGAAACAGGGTTTTGGATGTTCTTGTCTGGCACGGTAAGGATACAGAGGCCTGGGAATTGTTTGAAGAGATGATAGAAATCTGTGATTCCGAGACGATTGACATAATGTCCGACTATTTTAGTGAAAAGACTGTGCCATTCGAGCGGCTTAGGAAAACGTGTTACACGAATATGATCGTGAGTCTCTGCGAGCATGAAAAAGTATCAGACGCAGAGAAACTCTTCGCCGAGATGTTTACTGACGTTGACGGAGAGGACTTGTTCGTGGGGCCTGACGTCTTAACATTCAGAGCAATGATCAATGGATATGTTAAGGTAGGGAGATTCGATGATGCTATCATGACCTTGAACAAGATGCGAGTTTTATATATCAGAAAGCTTGCTATTCATCATGCACCATAAGTTGCATTTGTGGTTTTTTTAAGAGATACTAGATCCTGACCGCACATATGTGCGGGTTTTTTTTATGCTTAATTCATTTCGTTTATTACTTATATATTCAAATACAGTTTTTCTTAT